CAGCAAAATTTTTTTTTTTTTATTGACAGACTGACTGATCCCAATGTTTTCCTTCAGTCTTTTTCTTCAAACTTTTATTAGGAAAATTTCAAACACATGCAAAAATAGAAAGGATAATGTTGGATTCATCATGTATCCAACACCCGGCTTCAATAATTGACAATTCATGACCAATCCTCTTACATTCATCCCCAGACACCTACCCCCCATTATTTTGAAGAAAATCCAGACATCATTTTGCTCACGTGTATTTCAATATGTATCTCTGAAAGAGAATGACTGTATAAAAATACACTACCATTGTTATACCTTAGAAAAGTAAAAATAAAGAACTCCTTAAATTCAAATATTCAGTTGGTGTTCAAATTTCCAATGGTCTCAAATCTTTTCTTCTTGAAAGGTGTTTTCTCTTGATAGGATCTACACATTGTGAGTGATTGAGATCTGTCCTTTTAACCTATAGGCACCATCTGCTGTTTTCCCCTTTTGTTTTCCTTGCTTTTATTTGAAGAAACTGAATCATTTATCCTGTAGAGCAGTGCTTCTCAAACTGTCTACGGTAAAGAGACAGTTTTAGATTTCTAATCGGTCTCGGAATGATACACGGTGCTACTGCACAAAACCACCACCCAGACTGAGCACATGCAGCTCACCAAGAGCATCTGGGAACACCTGGACCAGTCTGCATGCAGAGCCACAGAAGTCCTCTGACAACAGGCTTGACTACGACGGTCTAAACATTTCTAATCACTTACTTCTGATTCTTGTACTTATTTCATTATGCAGATCTCATCTTGAGGAACATTGCTGTAGAATTTCGCCAGGCTGGATTTTGCTTATCACATCTACATGGTATAGTTTAATGTGTTTCTCTGTCCTCTGTATCTCCTATAAATTTGGTTGTTGGATCTAGCTATTTGAACTGATTTAGGTCCAAAGTTTTTGGCAGGACTTCACAGGTGGCATTGTATTCTTCCATCAGGAGACACGTAAGTCTGGCTGCCCCGCTTTCTGTGATGGTAGTGGCCACTGGTGAACAGTGTTACCACCAGGACTTAATGTCAAACCCCTCTAGTCAATCCGGTTCCCACAGTTTGTTCTCTGGGAGACTCCTAAGGAAGTTCTCCTCTTCTCGGCTCCCAGCTTCCCCCACCGCCTCAGTTTCTGACACAGTGCAGGTCTGCCAGCCAGCGGTGAAGCGCTTAGCGAGACGCTGTCAGCCAGGGTGTTGGGGAGTTGTCTGTGGTTTGGGGTTCTGCTATTCCAGGTGCTGTGTCTGTTTTTTAAGACTTGGGACTACTAAAAACTATACAACCCAATTCCCACTTTTGAGAACAATGTTGTTTGCTTTTAGCAGGGTTTTAATTTTTTTAATAATATATTTAAAACGAAATGTATGGCCCGTACTTTTTTTTTAGCTGCATCCCGTCCATTTTGCTTTATTAATGTTACAACTTAAGTGGGTCGACCAAGTTCCTACATAATAAAGTGACTATTTCCCCCATGCCCGAGCAGTTTGAAGTATTTTCATTGTTGGTGAGTGATAAGTAACTTTTGATACATCCTAATATTTCTCTTTAACCCATGAATCTATAGTTGTGAATTTTTAGATGGCTGAGGATATGGAAACTTTTATTATCCTTTTCTTACTACTTTCTACATCAACTACATTGTAGTCAGGCATGGTTCTATTAATGTTACTGATTCTTTGACATTTGTTTACGACTTCAACTGTCAACTAGTACATGGGCAACATGTTTTTTTTAAAATAAATTTATTTATTTATTTATTTATTTTTGGCTGCGTTGGGTCTTCGTTGCTGCCCGCAGGCTTTCCCTAGTTGCGGCAAGCGGGGGCTACTCTTTGTTGCGGTGCACGGGCTCCTCATTGCGGTGGCTTCTCTCGTTGTGGAGCACGGGCTCCAGGCACGCGGGCTTCAGTAGTTGTGGCACGCGGGCTCTAGAGCGCAGGCTCAGTAGTTGGGGCGCATGGGCTTAGTTGCTCCTCGGCATGTGGGATCTTCCCGGACCAGGGCTCGAACCTGTGTCTCCTGCATTGGCATGCGGATTTTTAACCAATGAACCACTAGGGAAGCCCCTTATTTTTTTAAGTTATTCCATGTGACTATATACCTCCAGCTCTTGGGTACAGGATTTATGTATATGTCTGTCTGTCTGTCCAAACACACAGAAATACACACACACACACACACACACACACACACACACACACAGTTACAGCATTTTAAACATAAACATAATCAAGCCTCTTAACCATATTTTTCAGGTTTCCTGTATCTTTACTCATTTTGTCTGCTTACTCCATTGGTTTTTGATTGAGGTCATTTAAAATCTTCTACTGTGACTATGAATTTGTCAAACTTAACTTTTATTTCTTCAGTTTTGGTTTCTATATTACGGCTATGATGCTGGGCACATTAAAATTCCTAAGTCATAAAGCATCCTGGTCAATGTATTATCCCTCTTTATTCATAGTTAATATTTCTTCCATATATTCTATTCTATCTAATATTAATAATTGCTTTACCAGCTTTCCTTTAGTAAGTATTTGCTTGATATATATTTTCCTGCCCTTTACTCTCAACCTCTGGTGTGATTCTACTTCAGGTTTCTCTAATTGAAAAATGTCCAGTCTGATAATGTATGTCTTTAAATTGGTAAAGTTAACACATTTGTATTTGTGAATACTGATACATCTTACCTTGTCTCGAAACACAGAGGGGTTTTATTCACAATTAATAGTTAAATAAAATATACATTGTCATAGTTCATCCATTTCTGTGTTTATCCTTGTTCCTTTACCCCATACCTCCCTGCGCACTTTCCTCCTTGCTGAAATATACCATGTAGTGATGAAAGCAATGATTACCGACATTATGAAATAACAGGAAAACTTTAGATGACAATATAGTTTTGTAAATTATGTATGTAGCAAGATTAAAACTATTGAAAAAAATCCTATTCATAGAGTAATAAACTGAAAGAAGGAAACAAATTTTTTTGAGATTTAAGATTAGGTCAGACTTAGTACCAACACTTTAGCTGAGGCCAGGAATCCACAAAACTCCACCCCTCTCTCCCCCTCACCGTTCCTGGAACTGAAGCCCCGCTTGGGTCCCAAGCAGCTCCTCTATGAAAAGCAACAGACCACAGTAGAACAGGTGAAGTTCAGGGTTGACTCTGCCACCAGCTGGCTGGGTAATACTGGGCAAGTCGCTAACCTACTGGGGCTTCAGATTCCTCGTGGTTGAAGTGGAAATAATCTGTCTCACAGGTTTTTATTACAAGGAGTAAATGAAACACGGCACGTGGAATTACTTTATCAAACTCTATTCTTAGACATGTACGTGTGTGCGTGTGTAATCTTTCTAACTAGAAGCAGAATCTACAGTCACATCATCTGAAAACGAGCCACGCCTGCTCCCCGCTAAACTGGACCAGACCCCGCACAAGTGTGAAATGAGATGAGGTTAATTCCGAACCCACTCCCTGTTTCCCACCATCTAAGGGAGCCTGGATTTTTTCCACCACTAACACACCAGTGTGTGTCTCGCAGCCTCCTCTCCTCTGCCATTCCCACGGCTTGCAGGCTTACCAGCCAGGGAGCACCGTCCTTGCTCATTTTTGTAATGAGATAAACTGGGCTGTGCACCTGCCACTGCCGTGACCTGGACACCTTGTCACTGGTGTCACACCTCCGCTGGCTCATTAGCTGTAGGTGACATTCCATCACTTGGTCATATTTCCCAGACTTCGACCTGTCTTTGTCCATTTCCCTTTTGTTTCCTAATAAATCTGTATCCTTGTTAATAGTTATTACTCCTAACATAGAAAATAGTCAGCTTTTCCTAGTAGCAAAAGCGCTCATCCAAGCAGCTCTGGGATCGAGCCTGGGTGGCCTTTCGTGTAAAGCTAATACCTATTTCTGAATTATCACGAATTCCCAGGAAGGCAGCACATCCTGAAGCTAACGGCCCTCTCTCCTAAAACACGACTCATTTAACACAACACACGGCGGTTACTCACCAGCCTGAGGATCCTATACTGTTCCTGCTCATATCCGACAACCCACTAACCTGGTGTTTTGTGGGAAGGAGTTTTGTGACAATTATTCCCCCTGTTTCAGTGAACGTGTTTGGAAGAAGTACTATAGGAGTAATGCCTCATTAGTTCCATTTGTTTCTCACATAAAAACGGAGACGGTTTTAAAATATGTTAATGAAAGACAAGTGATACTGCACTTTTTTAGGAAATAGACTCAAGCTTTAAGGAATATTCATAAATTGCCAAAAAAAAGAGAAAAAAGCTGCGCACAACATATTAGGATGTCAGCTAACAGATGCAAGGAGTTGGGTGCTTTTGAGAATGGCCGGAATATCAGATTTCCTGATCAAAAAGGCTCTATGCATCCAAACACATACTTCAAGAAGAGCAATAATGAAAATGTCTCAAAAAGAAAAACTGTAAAGCACCCACAGGTGTAAAGCAGGGGACGGTAAGGAAAGAGTGTGGGACAAGAAGACAGCTTACAGTCTCAGCCACTAAACCACCAGTCCCCGGGCTACCTAAGAAATTCATTTGTGCCTAACTCCGGAACATGTAATTAACCTCCGCTAACTGAGATGTGGGGTAACCAGACCACGGGTCTCAGGGCTGCATCTCGAGTCATCCGGGACTGGGGGTAAGTGTGAGCCACTGACTACCCGCTCGTAAGAAGAAACCCAGAGACAGGCACGTTGGGACTGGAAGGAAAAGGACAGACACGAGGAAACAAAGGCCTGCCAATTTCTGAGGCTACTGACACAACACATCAGCCAGAAAACACTGAGCTCCGCCTACACAGAGGACGCCACCCAGGGTGGATAACGCACGGGTGCAGAACACGGTCAAGGACCCCGTGGGGCTTGGCTGAGATAAACCACAGTGGCCTCCACGAGACCACACAGGCCGTCCTCCAAGCCCGAGAGGGGCCGCACTCACCTGGTGCCGGGAGAAGAGCCGCACGGCCTCCAGCTGGTGGAACACAGGGTGGTGCTGGGCGTCGATCTGGTCGCGCCGGTACACGTCGCCCACCACCAAGAAGGCGTCTAGCCCCGCGCGCAGCAGGTCCCACTGGTGCGCGGACGTGTGCGCGCGCAGCATGTGGGTCGCGTTCAGGTAATAGCTGTCGCCCTTCTTCCGGCTGGGGTGGTCGGCCGGGACGAGCAGGCTGTCGAAGTTCTGCCAGGTGGTGACCACCGGGGAGAGGTCGTCGTAGACAGAGAAGAGGGGCGTCCCCGAGCGGCCCACGTACTGCGCGTAGAAGTGCTGCTTCACCCTCTCCTTGATCAGCCACAGCGGGTGATGCGGCCGGTTGTGCAGGTTCCTGCCGACCCTGGACAGGACCTTGCGGGACAGGTTGCTGTAGCCATCCTGGGGGTAGGACTTGCCCAGCAGCTCCACCGTGCCGCCCGGGGCCCCGAGGGTTCCCCGGGTGGCGGGCTCCGGGGCAGCGGGCCTCGCGCCCGAGGCCTGATGCTCAGGGCCTCGGCAGACCCCGCTGGCCTTCCTCGCCAGGTGGACGCGCACCTGGGCAGCTCTCCTGAGAGCCCAGCAAACCATCGCAGCAACTCCTTTCACGGGTTCTGGAAAGAGCACACACATAAGCACCAGTCATGTTTCACCCTGCAGAAAGTAAGTGGGGGGCGGGAGGGCCCCGTCTCCCACCAGCTCCCCACCACTCTACTGATGTCTGCCTCCCCCTCCACCACTCAGAGAGAACAGCCAATTAAGGAAATCTGCCCAGAGAGGCTTATACCCTCTGCTCTACATCAAGAGAATCACGGACGTCATGCTTAGATCCCTAATCTCTAGCTGTCCTCCCCTGACATTTAGATCCATGAGTGTAAAGAAAATTTCCCTTGTCAGGTCACATCACGTCCCGGACCCCTCACGCTGAATAAAACTATCAACGTGATGACTTTCTTTCTTTTTAAATTTATTTTATTTATTTATTTTGTTTTGTTTTTGGCTGCGTGCGGGCTCTAGTTGTGGTGAGCGGGGGCTACTCTTCGTTGCGGTGCGTGGGCTTCTCACTGCAGTGGCTTCTCTTGTTGCGGAGCACGGGCTCTCGGTGCGCGGGCTTCAGTAGTTGTGGTACGCGGGTTCAGTAGCTGTGGCTCGCGGGCTCTAGAGCGCAGGCTCAGTAGTTGTGGCTCGCGGGCTTAGTTGCTCCACGCATGTGGGATCTTCCCAGACCAAGGCTCGAACCTGTGTCCCCTGCATTGGCAGGTGGATTCTTCACCACTGCGCCACCAGGGAAGTCCCATGACTTTCTTTTATTTTGACTACTTTTGGGGGTCTCATTCCTTAAAGGAAGCCCATGATTACATCCATGTCTCTGAAGGATGGAAGGAGAATGTCTGAAACGCCATCCTGCCCATTTCACCCTCGTAACCACCAAGCTCTGCTCACTCCCGACAACATGGGACTTCTGATTAGCTCACCATGTTACAGGATGACATGAGCAATGCTTTTCTTCTGGATGTTTCCAATGAAATACACCAATTTAGGTAATCGTTATTTTTATGTGATTTTTATAAAATGAAAATGAAAAACTTAAGGAAATATTACACAGAGTGATAGACTATACCAGTGGACAGCTGGAATTACTTTTATAGATGCAAATCTTTTCTGTCCTCACATCTGGTCATGTCCTTTAAACTTAATACCATTGCAGGATCCCATCAATTACATGTCTCTTTTGTAAAAGAGCAACTTTCTACTGGGCACCCACAGGAAACCAGCAGGCCTAAACTCACTTGGGAAGAGACGCAGAGCAGCCAGGACACAGCGAGTTGACCAGATCTTCTTTTTAATGCCCAGAATTTAATAAGAAGAGGACCAGATTTCACAGCTGGAACTCACTCATAGGCTGTTCACATCAAAAATGAGGTGACAAAGATCCAGGTATAGCGGCCCAAACTCTAAGACAACACTGAAGGATTCTGGGTACTTCTCTGCTGGCCCACGAGCAAGTTTAAATTGACTCGGGGATCTCAGGCATGAAGATCTTTAGAGGTCAAATCCCTTGGTTCATAAAAAATTTACCATGAACTTAAATCTGCCAAATAACATCTTCTAAAACTTGGCATTTTTACCCACTGGGCTAACTATAAAGCATACAACCAGGTAGTGATTTGGCTTCCAGGGCTCTGCAATCATACCAAGAAAATACCTAACTTCACGCTAATAAACTGCATTAGGAGGGAATGACATTGCTCCACGCGACCATCCAAAGCACAGCTGGCATGTACCCAGCAGCACAGCCCCCTCAGCTTATGGAACCGAGACCTCCCAGACCCGAGTTAAATCACGCGTGACACCTGGGGAGAGCCCCTTGGTCTGAGACAGCCGTCACGTTAGAAGCTCTCAAAGATACCCAGAAACTCTCTGGGTTTATTCATTTATGGCACTATTTTGTCAGAGCTGTTGCGAAAAGTGTTTTTGGCTACACTTCAGCGGAAATCCATCTTCCTCCCTCCACAGTGCTCAGCGGCCTGTCACTGCAGTGGATATAAATTTTAAATATGCCCGTGCCGCCTCCTGCGTCTCAGCACTAAGTCACGCTGGTCGGTTGTCAGCGACCCAGCTCAGCGCCCTTGGCAAGACACGACAAGCATCTCTCCCTTCCAAAGCCATGTGCTGTTACCAAGCTCAGGATTCTTCCAGGGAAGGTGCTCCTGAGGCCGTATTCATGGGCTGCCGACCCCCCTTTCTTCTGTTTCTGCTCCACACATGCCCATGCCCGCCTGCACCCCCAGGCTCTGCTCCCACCGAGGTGCCCCATCCACACGTCCTTTCTTGGTCCTCCTGACCCCACCCCTAGCTTGCTAAGGAAAGTTTACTTTTCTTGTCCTTGTTTTCAGACTTTTTAATCTATCTGCTCAGCCCTCATCTGTCATTTCTCCCCACCCAAAACAATTTGGTTTTTTTTATTATCATCTCTTACAGAGAGAGAATAATGACTATGCTAGATTTCCCACTGCCATCTGAAAAGTAAATGCCTTTCTTCTTTCCTCTGTCAAGTTTCTCTGTGAGAAAGTCCATCTGGGAAATACAGGAGACCCAGAAAGATAATGCCGACCATGGTCCTGCCTCTATGGAAAGTGGTTTTCCATTTCATCCTTCCAACAACTCTGTGAGGCAAGTATTACTCTTATTATTTTACAAAGAATCTAGGCCTCAATTAGATCTTGTAACTTGCAAAAACTCATACATCTACCTGTGAACAAAGTTCAGAACTCTGAGCAACTCAATTATTTCTCAGTCAAAACAGACCCAAGACTGTTACATTCAAATTACTTCTCCGTAATTACCTATCTTAACTTCTACCTTAACTGAGCAACTTAGATTATACCTCAATGCATTTTAAATACGTGCATGAATAAATCAAAGAAAACACATTCGTTTAGATGGTGGAAATGAAATACCATTCAACTCAGGACCTGCGGGCCAAAACTGCCCATGCCCTGTTTTTGAAAATAATGTTTGGAAGAACCCAGTGATGCCCATTTGTTTACATATTGTCTGTGGAGGCTTTTCCACTACAAAGTCAGAGCTGAATAGTTGACTGTACCGCCCTCAAGGCCTAAAACACTTATTATCTTGTCCTTTACAGAAAAAGTTTGCTGAGCCCTGTTTTAGCTTAACTCACTGAAAAGTTCTTCCACATTACTAAGAATACCTTCTGGTCACAAATATATGTGGATTATAGAGCCGCTGAAAGTAACAAACGTACAAATGTGAATATTAAATGTGTTAACTTTGGCACAGAAGCGATAGTGAGACAGACCGTGAAAAGAGTCAGTACAACATCACGGGCAAAGGCCACACTGAGCAGAGACACCCATGGGCTGTAACCCTAGGCCGGCCCCTTGGGCACTCTGTGTATTATCCTTGGACACAGCATTTGACTTTTTTCGGCCCTCAAGCTTCTCATGTATAGACACAGAAAATAATACCTACCCCATAGTAAAAGGATTACACCGCATCCTGTTCATAATGCACTCAACTCATTGTCTAGTACGTAAGACACAAGATAAGTTGAATTAAAGGTTAAAAATGGCCCATAGACTTCTAGAGACCAGGTAACAGAGAAAACAATACCACTGAGACAGAGAACATGGGATGAATTTTATTTGTTTGTCCAAATGATTTCCACATGTGTGTCTTTGGTTCGAGAGGGAAACAACTTTGGACGTGTTGAAGTTAAGTACGGGTGACAGACCCATCTTACAATTTCTAGGACCCAGTCTGAGGTCTGCAAATAAGGTAAGAGCTCAGTACTAGCAATGGAGACCTTGGGATTTGTTTGTATAGAGGTAAGAGTTAATGTCGTAAGCACGTATAAGAACCCACTGGAAAGTGAGAGTAACAGCAGAAATGGGCAAAAGACAGAGCTCTTGGCAATTATCCTCTTTAAGAAGGATATATAAAGAGTAAAAGAACCAAAGGGTTCTCACAGAACCTAGGACAGGAAGCTTCTAGAAGGAAACCAAGGTTATTTCTGAACCAAGTGCCACTGTATATACAATTCTTAATATGCTGTATTATTACCAACTGTCTGTCTTCCTGCTAGACTATGTGGTTCTTGAGAGCAGAAGACACACAACCCCTGTCTTTCCCAAATGACCGCGCACTCAGAGGCTAGCACTACACCTGACACCAGGCAGAAGAGGAAGGGAGAAGAGAAAGTGGGAAAACAGAAAAGGATGGAAAGGAAATTGGCCAACAGGATCAAATGTAGCAAAGATGTTAGGCAGGGGGCAAAGTAAAGAACTATTTGACAAGATGACCATCAACAGGGCAATTTCAATGGCTGGGTGAAGACAGAAGTCAGATTATAATGGGTTTACACGAATGGAACATATAAAAATGAAGGAGGTTACCAATGAGAAAATGGATTAAAAATATTTTAAAACTTCTGAGACCGAAAGAAAGGAAGTTAAGGGAACTTTCAATAGATGACCCCGATCTCCCAAGGAAAGCTTTAGACTTATAAAGAAAAATATTCCGTACAATCTCAACATTCACCAAGTAAATGTTATTTTGTCTGTTAGAATGAATGAATTTTGCAGCGGTTTAAACAGTCCTTCCTTCAATCTCCCTCAGTCTTGTGTGTAAAGGAGAAACTAATTAGTGGTAATTTCTCTAAGGCACAGTTAGCTTACCGGAAAGGGCCAAATGTGACCCACATGTGGTTACGGCCACGCAAAAGAGATCAGGTGCGTCCCATTAACCTGCAGAGACAGGACTGAAACAGCATCTACCCAGAAAAATGAAGCTGGGCCCAGTTAACACACAGCTTATGTACTGTACTGGACTAAATAATGGCAGGGAAACAGCCAATTTCCATTAACTTTTGCTCAAAAAGAGCAGGCAAAGAGTGCTTTTGCTCCTGCTGAATGCAAAGAAAATGTCTCTAAAAAGGCCGTTCCCTGTGCTACTGGTGCAGCCTTTCTGGGCAGCCATTTAGCACTAGCAAGAGACTCAAACCTGTTCATACCCTTTGGCACGGTAACTACCCTTCAAGGAATTATCACAAGAAATAATGTAAATTAAGACAGAAGTGAAACACAAAGAA